TCTAGCTGGACCAAGAACGAAAAGCAGCTCAATACAATAGAAAGGTCACTGCGCCGCATATGGGTTTCCGAGGGCAGGCCCAGAGGTACGTGTTTTCAATTATACTGGGACAACAAACGAGCAAAACGTAACTTTAGAAACGCCCAAACTTGGAATATGAGGAATATCTAAAATCTGTTCACCGAGACCTGGATGAGGCAGCGGAAATAGATAGACAGACGTTTATTTTGGCGTCTTGTCGAACAAAGGCGACCTCGACCTTCTTAAATATATCCAGAAATTTGCGACGCCAGTGGTATAACCCACAACGATCCTGACGGCGTAGCAAATGCTTTTGCTGAATTTAATGAGGAGATTTACCGCCCATTGGAAGACGATCACTTTGACAATCGCTTTAAACTTGTCATCGAGAGTCGTTATACACGCATAAAAACAAGTGTTTCTGAATCTTCCAGCGATAATGACATAACAAAAAATGAAGTAAAGAGTGCAATCTCTTCACTTAAAATGCGCAAAGCTCCAGGCATTGATGGCGTAACAATTGAGCACATTGCGTTCGCAATCTCATTACAAATTCCCTCTGTAAGTTTTACAATGCGATAATGACCCCATATACAAAGGTGGCGATAAACCAAAAACTTCCTGCAATAACTACAGGCCTGTTGCTCTTCTGCCTTGTATTTACAAACCGTTTGAAAAAATTCTGTCTAATAGAAATTCTACCTTAGAAACAACAAATACCTTCCCCAATACACAACAACAAGGTTTCCAAAAACAATTGGGATGTATAACTGCTTTATTCAACCTTCATGAAACATTGAACCATAATCTGGAATATGTCAGGTTTTTGGACACAAATAAAGCCTTCGACACAGTCTGGAGACAGGGATTGATCTACAAAATCAAAAACCTAGGTATTAAAGGCAAATTATGGCAGATTATTGATGACAGTCACTGCAATACTGTAATTGCTGGTATCGTAAACCAAAACAATCCAGATGGTTCAGTGTTTATCAAGGAGTCAGGCAAGGTGGCGTCTTGTCGACATTTTTGTACCTTGTTTTTGTCAACAAGCTCTTACACGAACTAGAACTCTGCGACTCAACATCACTAAAATGCGTTTTGGATCCAAAATGCACAAGTCCTACGCTAACTGACGATATCTCCTGCATTGCCACATCCCCAGCAAATCTTCAGTCCATAATGGATATAGCTTACGCATATGCATGCAGATGGCGCTTTACATTCAATGTATCAGATTCCTAAAATTCCGTGTCAAATATAACAGTGTTCCGGATAAACCAATACTTCTTGGGAACCCTGAAATACCATACAACCATTTGGATATTATCATAAATAACAAAGCAAAAACAAAAGACCGCATCTTGTACGCATGCAACAAAGGGTGGACATCCTTCTATGTCCTATCTGACATCGATATCTCGTGTGTGAATCCTCTTACTATGACTCGACTCTATAAAATTATTGTCCTTCCATCTGTACTCTACGGTTGTGAATTGTGGAGCAATTTGACACAAGAGGATCACAGACGTTTAAGCACTTTTCAACATGGGGTTTGCAAAGCTGTCCTAAATCTGCCCAAGCCCACTCGATCTGATATGTGTGAACAGCTTATGGATATACTCCCCATCCATGCCGAAATCGATGCAAGAAAACTTATTTCTTAGGAAGGCTATGCAACATCAGCACTCGTTGTCTCTCAAACAAACCTTCATCTCAAGACTTTTCTCCTGCCTGACACAGCTGGTTGCCGATCTAAGGGGCTTTATTCCAGATATCATCCATATTCTCAGGAAATACAACATACGCACTTACCTGCTTACCTGGATGACCACAGGTACCTTCCCGCATAAATATTCTTGGAAAACTATTGTCCGATCCGCGATCAACGACTTCTACATTCAACAGAGACAAGCAAGAATGCTCATGGATCCCGACTTTCACCGTTTCAACTCCGTCTTTCAACATAACAAACCTTGTAACATCTGGTCATTTGCGGATAACGCAAGTGATATTCGAAACTTAAAGTTCACTTGCAAGTTAATTGCATCAGCGAAATACATATGTCTTTCAATCTGTCATCTGTGCAATTCCACGTTTGAGGACATTTTCTGTCACGTAACGTTGTCTTGCAGTGCTCTCTCTGACTGCAACAATGAATGGTGGAACACAATTGTCAATTCATTTCATATTGATCTTGGAGCAGAACTGTGTGGCCTTTGTGAATGGATCTTTTTCTGGTTTCCTGGAACGCGAACCACTAACCGTTTTATCTGTATCTCAGGAAAGAAACTTCAGGATTCTAAACTCGAAACTGTTAGTTCGTGCATGCGCACAATACCAAAGGGTATGTGCAGTACTCTCGCGCATATGACTTGTATAGAGCAAATGTGACATTTGTATCTCTTTTTTCACTTTATGCTTATCATTTATTTGAAAATATTATTTGAATTGTACATAGATTAATGTGTTGATTAACTTAATTCTTAATTCTGTATCTCTTTATAGAGGAAATAAATGATGAATGTATTGGACTGGCTGGGCAATGTATTTTATAAACTCACATAAATTCTCCTTAGATTGCATTTAAAGGAATTGGTCAGCTTCCTGCAATCAAATGAAATGCATGAATCAACATAAATGTACGTGCATATATGTTTATAATTAGGTTGAATTTATCATGCATCAGACACCCTTGTACTTTAACAAGTTCTAGCAATATCGCTACCGATGGAAAATTATCAAAATGGAGCTCAACAAAATAGTATGTGATTAAAATATAAATTTGGGACACAATTTTGTGCCTTTTATTGAGAAATTATCACCAAGAATTGATATTTTCCAAAAAAAATCAAAATTCACCATGGATCAGACATTATTTACCATGCATCGGAAAGACGGTATTTCAACCGAAAAAAATATACCTTTATCACAGTGCATTACAATCCTTGATATTGATATACTTTTATATTATATCTAAGAAATAACCCTCAAATTAAATTTATTTGACGATATCGTTGCACAAATATGGAAAGATTCAAGATGCCTTACTCTGCCTAAGAAAGGCTTTAAAATGCTTGTAATGTGGTAATTCGCGCCTTTTTCTCATGCGTTAAAATAATCTGGTTTGTAGAAATCAATTGAGTCAGATTCTAGACGTAATATATCAATAACTTGTATTTTGACTGTAAATTTAGAGTTTTTATTTTCTATTTCCTAAAAAAAACAACTGTCAATTGTGTTCTGTATGAAAATAGTGATTAACTTTGCATCAGAAAGTGTCCGATGCATGGTTAATTTGTGTCCGATGTACGGTGAAATGAGTATACTAGTAAAAACCAGCTCTAATAAGAATCAAACAAACATTGAAGTGAAATTTCTTTACGAATTATGTAAAATAACCAATCCCTGACAAAATTCACCTCGCTCCGACTCGTTCCGTGAAAGTCGAATTTAAAAGAACGATAACTCTAAGAATTGCAAATCATGAATTTCTGGTTATTCCCCTTTGATGATTTAAAATATGACGTAACTTCAAGGCCATTTTGGGGTATTTTTATCACAACATGATAAAAACAATCGGTGTCATTAAAAAAATCAAATCTTCATCTTTAAGACAGAAACAAATAAATACATAGAACTCATAAGTTGAAAGAGAGTTTATTGCCTAAAGTTGTCCGAAGCAAGGTATGTGTCCGATGCATGGTGAACTCCTATGGCAATGTGACCTGTAGCATGTATTCGTTTTATGCGTTCCAGTTTTAAGTGCCTCTCACTCAGATACACACTTTTTAACTTTTTACCTTTGTACAGTCAATGTCACCATTTTCCAATGGATAAGCTCAAAATAAATAATTGTTTGATACATCAAAATTTATAACCAAACAACAATTAATTTGCTTAAAGACCATAATAATGGTTCTCTAATTAATAACACTTTCCTTTGAGATAGATTATATATGACATAAAGGATAGGTACTTTTATCTAATCAATGAACAACAATTTCCTGTCTCATAGCTTTTTTTATTTTGAGTAACTATATGCACCCAATGTGTTTTCTTCCCATGATCCAGTCCAGAGGATTTGCGTTTTGTTGTCATAACATAAGCTGTATGTTCTCTTTATGACTTGCTCTCATGTCCGTATCCGTAACAGAAAGTGACCATCTTTGTCAATGATATGTACTGTGTGGGTTTGTCCATCACACACTAGGATTTTTAAAGGTACTTGGACACAGATTTGAAGTTAATATTTTCTCTATAATATTACAACTTGTATATTTTAATAGCATTTTACACAAAAATTTATTAAAAATCTTATTTCATTTAAAAGTTATTAAAACTTAAAAGTTTTTGGCGGGTCTGATTGACACATCCTTGCACTTTCACAAATTTTAACTTTATTCTTAATACTTAGGAAAAGTGGCCATATTGTTGTGTCTTAATGAAAAATATTAAAACAATCCAGAAAATTCAAAGTAGACAAGTACTAAAACAAAACAAACACACAATTTATTGTCAGTCCGTGCAGATGTGGTGAACAGACTTTGGCGATTTAACGCACCCGATGAATCGTCAACACCAAACAATAACATGTTTACAAAAAACCTGTGTACATAACACGAGTGTGATCGATTCACAAAACCTTGTACACAACGGAATGACGATACTTGTGAAGCAGTTCTGCTTTCTAACATTTCTACTCTGATTAAAATTATTCTTCTTGATTTAAGTTTTAATATCTCTCATTAATACACATCAAGATTGCCACTTTTCCAAATGATTAAGAATAAAGTTAAAATTTGTGAAAGTACAAGGATGTGTCAATCAAACCCGCCAAGAAATTTAAAGTTTTAATAACTTTTAAATGAAAAAAGATTTTTAATTAGTTTTTGTGTGAAATGCTATTAAAATATATAATTCGTGATATTATACAGGAAAAATAAGAAAATATTAACTTCAAATCTGTGTCCAAGTACCTTTAACAGCACGTCTGTGCAGATTCCATATGTTTCTAGCTGTGATTCTGATGGAAGTCCTGTGTAAGAGAAGGGATGTTTTCCTCCATCATCTGTAACAACTATCTGGTTAGAGTCAGACGCAATGACATTTTTATTGCGGTTCTCTGTGATGTATCTAGGTACACTGTACAGATGCTGACCCTTGTTGTCGAGTTGTATTGTCTCTATGTATTGTCCTGTTCTATTGTAACGGTTTACCTTGCCTGTCTTGTCAACATAACGGAGCATGCAGACTAGTAGATCTCCATTGGCGGCGGAGGAAAAGACAAACACTGGCTCCCATGTGTTTGTTCCTTTTATCAATGTAGACCGTGTTCTGTAATCTGTAGAAAGTTGAATAATACTATTACTAGTACCTTTATACATCAATTCACATTTATTGTTCACTGTGTGTGCTCCATATATATTATACCATCTATAATTAGCCTCATTTGTCAGCTGATGCATAATTTCCCCTCCGATATTTACCAAGATTAACACAGTAAAACAGTTTTGCCTAAGACTGATCCAGAACATGTCTGGAGTAAGCATTGAATTATGTGTTACATTACCAGACATTTTCAGTTTTACCATTTTCTGTAACACAGGTGTAGACATCAGTTCCAGTAGTCTTACTTGTCTTTTCCCTCTCTCTGTGATTTGGATTTTACTCAGTAACTCAATCACATTCTCCTTGTTTATATTCCCAGTCATGTTGATATTCATAGTCAGGGAAAGCAAGGCGTTTTTGGTGATATGTAAAGTTTCTTTTATCGTAGGAATAAATTCGTTTTTAAGAAAAAAGATGACTTTTACCGTTCTATAAGCTGACTGTTCATATCTGTGTTCATAAATTTGTATGCTGGCAAGGGTTCGCTTCCGTTGTTGTTATTCATGATTAACCTCGAAAATTTTGACTTTAACATCACACAGTACCGTGTCAACCACGTCCTTTAGTCCCTGGGCTTTTGTTGATATCTTTAGCTTAACATTTTTAAGGTTGGTTATATTGGTTTGTTCAGTTTTTAAATTAGTTTTGATGATTTTAAGGAGAACACTACTATTATAGAGATTTTCACGGCTGATCTTTCGAGTGATGTCTTTGTGTTGTTCACGGTTTGTTTTGTACGCTGTTCTAATGTTCATCATTTTGTGTAGTTGGTATTTTTTACAATTTGCACAAACAGGAAGTTCACATGAATAACAGTATTTCTCATAAACTTTGTCTGGATGTCTCAAACAGGTCTCCTCTTTTAACATATATTTATATTTCTCCTGGTAAATCACATTATGGTGCTTGGTATCTAAAACAATAGCGTGTATCTCTTTACACTGCAGACGCAGATTACATTTACAAGTGTTACAGAAGAATTCTGTATGTTTATGACATTGAGAGCAGTGCTGGCCTTTAATACACTGGGTGCTTTATCCTGATCCCATAATTTAGAAGATCCTAGTCTCTAAAAACAAAATCTCCTGACATAAATAGAAGAAAAAGAAAATAGTAAGAAAAATAAAGCTTCTAAAATGAATTTTTTGCAAATTAAATAGTAATTTCTTCGCCTTACCATTTAAATTTTTAGCATGTGCTAGCTATTTACTGTGGTATTATCCTAATCTTTGAGAGGAAACAAACCTCGGTCTGTCTTTACACTGTAGATACACGTCAAGTTTACGTTCGGTACGTTACAGTTCTGCATCTCCTTAACAAGGAAACACTGTCTTACTTTACATTGGAGATTTTATATTTGTGTGTTCATTATTTGAATTGTACAATATATTAATAGTGATTTATCTCATACATCCTTTAAGGTATACATTGAGACAGAGCAACTGCTATAACTTCTGGAAGATTTATTCTCTCCTACAGAGCAGTCAAGTCATCTGTATAGAACAATCTGTGTTCAAAACTAATATTAAACAAGGCCTTAACAATGATTACAAAACATATCAGAAATAAGAAGATTATCTTAGTTATATGATGATATGGAATATTATACAAGTGAATTTTCTCAAAAAGATTCATTTTAACTTTAAAGAAAGTAATGTTAACAAAGGGTTTCCAATTTATTCTACCTTAATTGTTTAACCAGTCAACAAAATGTTATAAATAAATTAGTGCTACTAAATATTATTTTTCTTGCTGACAAAGAATGTGATGAGTTTGGATGTTTTTTTCTACAATAATTCCTTAGTGATGTTAATCAAAAGTGGATTAAAAAAGCCTTCAAGAAATTAAAGGGACTTTGAAATAAACATCAAACAACATTATCTCACGAATTATTAGGCACACTATCATATACAGTTTAATTTAATGACCCAGGGATCATAAAGCATCAGAAAACTTTTGAAAATTTTTAATTGAAATAAGTAGTTTTTTTACAGGACATTGTAATACAAAAAACACCTTACATATGTTTTTTTTAATATTCCACTTAAAAAGATACTGATTATTTTGCTATATCTTCACTCACAATGTACTTTCGCCTAAAAATTATCAACAGCATGAATGGAAATTTAACCGAGACGCAAATTTAGAGATTTCTCCTTGGTAGTTAATTTTAGCGAGAAGAAGTTTTTGCGATTTTAATATGCTCAGCAATCAAGCTAAAACAAAATAAAACACAATTAATTTTTAGCGATATTCAATTTTTGCAATCCAACCATTTTTACTAATAATGCAAACATTAAATCACCCCTAAAATTTAATTCTAATTATACAGTATATGTATTACCGAACTGTATATTCATTAACTTTTATTTGAGTAGTTCAGGAAGTAATATATAAATATTGCATGTAGTTGAGTGTAACGTTGAAAATTTTCACCCCAAGAAAACCATTGTTAACCGCGGCGCAGCCATTCATAATTGACAATGTTTTTTTTTGGGGGGGGGGTTGAATATTTTTAATGTTACATTCACTTACATGCAATTTTTATTATATTACACTGAATGTTTTATACGAACACATAAATTCTGCGCAGTCGCTATTTTGTGGAATATCACCCGTCGTCAAGCAATGTTGACTGTTGCTATGCTGGAGTGCGTGGCTTCATTATTCAGCTGGTAATAGTGTTTTTTAACAAATGTTTCTTAACCAATCACATTCAACTAATTTACATGAAAGTATAATATTATATATTACTGACCTGTCAGATATTAAAAAAAATTGTTAAAACATGGATTTTCATCTTAAATTTACACATGTATGTACACCAACGACACCCTGACAAACCTTGGGTTCCAATCATACTCCCAATTAGAACTTTGCAGATACTTTTGTGAACTCAATATTTCTGCGTTCGTAAAGACACCCGAAGATTTTCAAATGATCTTACCCCATTGACTTGCAGTTCCTATCTTATTCGTACGAAACGACAGGTGTTCACCACCATCGGAACATCACTCGTCCTTTTCCGTCAAGTCGAGAAACTTGACTTGACGGAAAAGGACGAGTGATGTTCCGATTGCTTGCTTGAGTACTCGACGATACAGCTTGGGAAATAAGATCACACAACTAAGCATGAGGCGATCTGCTGATTCAGAGAGACAGCTTTAAATCGATGAATGTTTCCTGCGTTAATTAGATTGGTCAATTCTAATAAATTAAACTACTTTGCAGATTTGTTGCACTTCTATTTTATCCAATTAATTAAAAGTAGGCCATGCAATGACATAGGGGCTTGCTGATCTGTTGATATTATAACACGTCTGAAAATTTAGAATAAATTTATCAAAGTGAAATTTCTTGTATAGACTGACTTGCCTTCTTGTATCCGCGATAGGTAGTACACGGTATTTTGTGCGTAGGGTAAAGACAGGCAATTCCAGTTTATTGTATATATTGGCTTTGTATCACATGTTTAACACTCCCGTGAAACAAAAATCTGTAAGAAAAAAAGAAAGAGAAATATTTATATTGTATGTTTGTATTGTATTGTTTGATATTTATTTTTAAAATTTAAAAACCCAAACTTATTTGGTATATTTAATTTTAATATCTTATTTCAGAAGTCTAAATTTCCAAGTTTCCAAACATGTTTTTAGAATTTTAAGTTTTTATATCTTTTACCTCAAACATGCAAATTTCAAATTTCCAATAACAAACTTTATTTTAAACTTTTGAGTTTTAATCTACCGTTTGTTTAGAAAGTTTACACTTAACAATCTTAACAAAATTAGCTTAAAAACTTCGAAATTTTAACTTATAAAACATTCTAGATTTTTATGCGCCTGGATCGGAAAATCGGAGGCATATACTGTGTTTGTCCTGTTTGTAAGATTCTCAACAACACATGTGCTCAGTAGCCATCTTTTAATACACTGAATGACGTCACAAATACAAAGACAATACAGATCACGAGACAAGCGGCATTACTCTTGTTACATCTCCCTTTTTAAGATATTTGTGAAATAACAGTTTTTACAAATCAGACAATCTACTGCTAAATAAATGCTAAATAAATGTACTGTAAATTTTAAATCCCAAATTTAGAATTCTGTGTAACAATAAAATATTTATAAAACAAATCTGCCGCATTTCAAAACATCACTGGACACATGAATTAACTTTAAACATAAAAAGAGTTTGGAAACATCCATACATGTAGACTGAAAAAACACTGAAATTATTACAGGCTTTAAGTTTGGTATCTTGCCGGTAACACTGACGCTCTTCCGGACCTTGTGAATCGGACTTTGGGATTTGACATTTTCACATTTTCATTATTTTCACATATTTTGACACTTTCACTTTTCACTGCCTTTACTGGCTGACACGACTCTTAAGTATCGATAACACTCCTTGAATCTGTCTGCGTTGAATCTGCCTGCACTGGTGGAATGATCACTACTTCGTCTTCTTCCTCCCTAGAATTTTCTGGAACACACTTTTCCTTGGTTTTCACCAAATCCTTGTGATTTCTCCTGAACATCCGGTTTCCTGATTTTACTATGTAGGATCTTGGTTCCTCGCATTGTTTGACGACTTGTCCTGGATTCCATGAAGTTGATGATGATTGATGTGAACGAATTCTAATTACGTCTCCTCTTGCTAATGGCGTCCTTTCTTTGGCATTTCTATCATAGTAGTGTTTTTGCTTCTGCTGTTTAGATTGTAGATTTTTCCTGACGGATTTCCCAGGGAAGTTGTTAGGTGTGTAGAGTGATGATTTGGCTGGAATGAAAGATCTGGTTCTGCGGCCCATCAGAAGTTGCACGGGTGAAAGTCCCACACCAGAAAGTGGTGTATTGCGAAGCTCTAAAAGAGATAAGTATGGATCTTGATGGTCTTCAATGGCCTTTTTCAGAAGTTTTTTGGCCGTCTGTACGGTCCTCTCTGCAAGTCCGTTGCTCTGGGGGTACCTTGGAGATGATGTGATGTGCTTGAAACCAAAGTCACTAGCAAAAGCTTGAAATTCGCAGCTTGAATACTCTGGTCCGTTGTCACTAATGAGTGTTTCTGGAATGCCATATCTAGCAAAGTTTTGACGAAGACATTTGATAACCGTCAGACTTTTGGTATCCTGTAACATTGACAGTTCGAAGAACTTAGAGAAGTAGTCCACTAGCACTAAGCAAGAGTCTCCATTTAAGTAAAAGAGATCAGTGGCCACTTTTTGCCATGGTCGGTTAGGCACTTCATGTTGTAAAAGTGGTTGTTTCTGCTGTTTATTTCTGTGTTTATTGCAAACTTCACTTAATTTGTTGACTCATCCCAGGCCAGTACAGTAATTCTCGTACTCTGCTTAAGCTTTTTTTCAATTCCCATGTGGCTTAGATGAATTCTTTTCAGCATTTCATCACGCATAGATGATGGAGTAATGATTCTATCTCCCTTGAACTCAAGTCCGTCAGTTATGTTGATCTCATCTCTGAGGTTCCAATTCAGATTTAACTCCGGATCAATTTTCAACTTGGATTCTGGCCAACCATTAATCACGGTTTTCATCAGTTTCATAAGTAGTTCGTCCTTTGCAGTTTCAGCCTGGAATCGTTCCACATTTTCACATGTAATCGGTTTGTTCTCGAGTATATGAACCTCAAAGTCATCTTCTGATTCATCATCTCTTAATGCTGCGCGACTAAGAGTATCCGCAATGTGAAGTGTTTCTCCCGGAGAGTACTTTACTCTCAAGTCATACTTCTGGATTCTTAACATCATTCTCTGCAATCTCAGTGGTGCATTGGATAATGGCTTTTTGTAAAGGTTTTCCAATGGCTTGTGGTCCGTTTCTATGTCCACTACTTTCCCATACACGTAATCATGAAACTTAATGAGTCCAAACACTATAGCGAGTAGCTCTTTTTCAATTTGAGCGTAGTTCTGTTCAGCCAAATTTAAGGATCTCGACGCATAAGCTATCGGTTAATTTCCTTGTAGAAGACATGCTCCCAGTCCTGCAGAAGAAGCATCTGCTGAAATTTTCACTGGAGCTGACACGTCATAGTATTTGAGAACAGGTGCACTTGTAATTGCATTTTTCAACTCCTCCAACGCTTGTTGGTGTGTCTGTGTCCAATGCCATTCAACATTCTTTTCTAGAAGTTGACGCAACGGTCTGTTCACTGTTGACATATTGGGTATGAATTTTCCTAAATAGTTAATCATTCCCAGGAATCTTTGTAGGTCTTTCTTGTTTTCCGGACTCTTCATCTCAACTATTGCTTGAACTTTACTTTGACAAGGCTTCAATCCATCAGGTCCTAACACATGACCTACAAATTTGACTTCTGACAGCCTGAGTTTACATTTTTGTCTGTTAAACCTCAAGTCAACTTCTTGTGCTCTTGCTAACACAGATGAAAGTCTATGATCATGTTCTTCTTGATTCCGTCCATAAATTAAAATGTCATCAGCTATAGTACTACACCCATCTATGTCGGAAAAGATTTGCGATATTGTTCTCTGAAAAATTTCTGGCGCACTTGAAATTCTGAAGGGAAGACGTTCAAACTTGTATCGCCCGTAAGGAGTATTAAATGTTGTCAACCAAGTGCTCCTCTCTGACAACTTGATTTGGTAAAATCCTGAGGCAGCGTCAAGAGTGCTGAAAACTTTTGCATCTTTTAAAGTTGCGGCTACCTCCTCAACTGTTTTCAGCGGATAATGTTCCCGTTGAATTCCGCGATTTAAGTCCCTTGGGTCCAAACAGATTCTTACTTTTCCATTGGGTTTTTCTACAATGACGATCGGATTAACCCATGTTGTTGGTTTTTCTACTTTCGTGATGACTTTCTCACTAACCTTCCTATCTAACTCTTCCTTGACTTTCGATTTTAATGCGTGCGCAACTCTTCGTGGAGGGTGTACTATAGGTGTAACGTTTGTATTCACTTTAATGTCATATTCTCCTGGCAAACATCCGATGCCAGAAAATAAGTGTTCGTATTCTTTGATGACACTGTCTGTACTCACAGTACTATGATTTTCATCGACCAGATTTACACGTTGGACAAGCTTCAAATCCAGACAAGTTTGTAGGCCAAGTACAGGTACAACATCATAATCCACAACATGAATTACGGCATCATAATACTTCCGTTTGTATTCTAACGCAACGTGAGCCTTGCCAATAGCTTTAACTTCATCCTTGGAGTATGAGAATAATCGCAACTTCGATTTGCGAATATCCTTGATTCCTGCTTCTTTGCAAAGTTTCTGCGTGATCACATTACACTGTGCCCCTGTATCTATCTTGAAGTCAACAGAAATGTCATTGATTTTCACTTGAACCATCCAGTCCTGTTCCCTATCCTTGTCTGTGTTCTCGATCCCGTATGCTAGGAATTCGTTGTCCGACAGTGAATCTCCGTCTGCATCTGAATTGGACTCATGCTGAAGCATGTGCACACGGTCTCCCCGACTTTTACACATTTTTTCAAAATGATTCATTTTCTTGCATTTTCTGCACTCCTTACCGTACACTGGACAGTTTCCTCGAGCATGAGAAGTTCCACAGCGATTACATTTTCTTTGCCGTGATTTGCTTTTGTCTCTATCCCGTGTCGGTTTGTTGTTTTTATGACGCGAATTTCCTCTGCCACGTCTGAACCCGCCATGTGCTCCTTGCGCGACCACGTGATTTATAGCTTTCTCATCTACGATGTTTTTAATTTGTGATTCACTGGCTTCATTAGCACGACAAATGTCTACAGCCCTCTGTAATGTAAGGTTTTCTTCTCTCAACAGTCTCTTTCTTACAGAGTCACTCTTGATCCCGCATACGATCCGATCTCGGATAAGAGAATCTTGTAAATTTTCAAACTCGCAACTTGCAGCTCTTTGTTTTAGATCAGTAACATACGCATCTATGCGCTCACCTTCTTTCTGTACCCTGGTGTTGAACATGTGCCTCTCATATGTAATGTTCTTCCTCGGGTTGCAATAAGCCTCGAATTTCTCACAAATGTCCTTGACTTTTTCTTTATCTTTGTCATCCCAGGTAAACGTATTATAAACCTCAATGGCTTCAGCGCCAACCACGTGGAGTAAGGTCATAGCCTGCACCTTATCATCTTTCTCCGCCGTTCTGGACGCTATATTGTATATGTCGAATTGCTGCTTAAATCGCCTCCAATTCTCCTTTAAGTTTCCGTTTAAGTTGAGTGCGGCTGGAGGGTTTAACCGGTCCATTTTTCTTCTGACACCATGTAAGATTCTCAACAACACATGTGCTCAGTAGCCATCTTTTAATACACTGAATGACGTCACAAATACAAAGACAATACAGATCACAAGACAAGCGGCATAACTCTTGTTACACTGTCTGTCTGTTTGTCTGCTTGCTTTTGCCATAAATTTTGAACCATGAATGGATGAGATTTCATATTTGGTATGTTTACTCCACTAATTAAGTTTCTTCAAATGACCCCAAGGGCAATGGCTTGTGACCTTGACTATGACCTATATGCTAAAAATAGTTTTTTCTACAAACATTAACCTTCGTCCTAACGTTTGAACCATAAAAGATAGAGACTTCATATTTGGTGTGCATACACCACTGATAAAGCTCTTTTATATGACATCAATAGATTTGTGACCTTGACTGTGACCTACATGCTAAATATAGTTTTTTTGTTTGCAAATAATAACCTTCGCAATAACTTTTGAACGAAGAAAGAAAGGGAATAATTGCCACGTATACTCCACCGAATAAGTCCTTTCACATGTCACCAAGGTCAATGACCTTGTGACCTGGACTGTGACCTATATGCTGAAAATATCTTTTTTGAACCTTCATCATAACTTTTGAACCATGAGAGATAGACTTAATTTTTGGAATGCATACTTCACTAATCAAGTCCTTTCAAATTACATCAAGATCAATTACCTTTTGACCTTGACTGTGACCCTAATGCAAAAATATTTTTTTAACTTTGTTGCCGCCAGGTACATAGTGTTTCACGAACACATCTTGGTTTTAATTCAGAATTATGATTCTAACATTCAAATTTCAAATGACCAATGCACTTGGAGTATTTACATATTTACTTCAAATATCCAAAATAACAAATTTAAGACCTGTTTCAAAAATTCTTTTGGTTAAGCAAAAGAGCTTTTAGATAAAGCAAAGGCTTTAGAAAATTTAATGTTGAATATCTTCCGCAATTCATTTCTCTCAGTGCAATTTTTGAACGCAAAGTAAACTCGAGGAAGCGATAATCATCCATAATATAGCACTCTGCACGATCTGTTTTGGTTTCCCCGAGGTATTTAAATACTACGTCAGCGAGAGTTTTTATCAGCCAATGAGCGCGCCCGGAAGAGGGATCTCTTTACAATACTGATATCGAGGATCAGACAGGCAACCTAATCTACTTACCCCAAAGCCTCATGAGAAAACTCCAAATTAGATTTATATCAAGCCCGATCATTAGAAAAATATTGAAATTAATTACAGGACCAAATCAAAGGATAGCCATGGCTAACAATATTTATTAATTTTATTGAAAATTTAAGATACTTGGTTGACTCAGCTATGAACGCTCTCTGTTAACCCTACTATGATTTATTTACTAAATATCCGCATTTGATAAACTGAAGAAAAATAAGAGAGATTTGGTAGTCGATGAACATATATGGGATTGCTTTCCTTAAGATCATGTATTCTACAAGTATTTCAATATTTAAAAAAACACGAATTATGTCTGTAAGTGCAATTTCTTAACAGAAAATAATGAAAGTAATTATTGAAGTATAGCAAGAAAAAAATACTTCATTAGTGTAACTTGGTAAATATCAAACTACCCGATGTAATCCTAATTCGAGGACTTAATATGAATATTATATCCAATCACAGTTAAAAGCATATTTTTCTTGTCCCATGTTTTACCTAGCAAAACCTGGTACACTAATACTGTTGTTTATTAGGACTTTATCATATTCATAGTGTCATATGACCGAAATCAAATGTATAACAAAGTAAACTTGTGATAAATGCCTGTTATCAGTTACTTTACAATCTTAATATGTAACTTGTGATGAGAAACATACTGTATTATAATTAATTTATTAAAGACATATGACACTATTAGAAAAGGCATCTCGCACTTGAAATGACCAATACTGGATGGAAAACACCATGGAAAAATAATAGCTGCTGTACATGTCGTATAGTTTAATAAAAGAAAGCTATAAATTTGTAACTGCATAAATATCAATCACACACAGTTTCGTTATAATGTAAGAAAAAAGACATGTATTCCATATAAATTTACATCTTAAAGATATACAACAGTATTGTTAAAAAAAATTCAACCTTGGTGATAATAAAGCAAACGTTAATAGTATTGTTTTGTACATTTTAAAATAGTTTTGTCTGTTTGCATTTTTATTTTTTTTTAATTCAATTTTATGATATCTTCAAATGATGACCGTTCACTGTAGTTCAGTCAGTAGAGCAGTTGCACCGTGATTGGATTATCTTGAGTTCGAATTTCGAATCTTGGCCGCGTCTTACCTAAGTCCAAAAAGGGGTAGCAACTGTTCCTTCGCCATGCACAGGCCTTTGAAGTGACAGTTACAGATTCTTTTTTGAAAACTTCCAAACCGATGTCCCTTATCACTATTAAGATCACTCACTGCTCAATTCCCCTAAGTTCCGAGTAACGGTCAAAATTTGAAGCCGTTCACTGGTAAATCTTGACGTCTTCACATTTGTGGAATTTTCAAATGCGCAATTAATCAATCAATCTTCACAGGCTGAACCTCTGTCATTAAATGAATGGCAGATTCCTCCTGTATATTTATATGTGTTACTTGATCAATAAAAAAGGCCTTATGGTGAATGTGACGTGACTCGTCAACAGGGGAATCTAACTATTTCGGGCACCTGATCCCACTTATAAATTTTTCCGGAGGTCGTGTTAATGCCCTTTTCTGAAATTCTTATTTCTTAATTAATTTGATTTGCATGTTTTTCTTTTTGATGAGGGAATTGATGACTAATAACAAGTCTTTTAATATAATGAATTTTTTTTTTTTTTTTTTTTTACAATTTTAATATTTAAATCTTATTTATATATTTGATAAGCATTAACTGAAATCAGCTTTTCTTGGCTTTGTATTAGATTAGATTTACTAGTGATAAAAATACTACAATCCATTTCCAATTTCTTTTTTTTTTGAGTCGTTAAAGTATATACTTAATCAATTTATTATTTTCTTGTTTAAATTAAATGAAGTAAAAGAAAAATATTGAAAAATTAACAGATTACAATAAGCTAAATGACGAAAAATCATTAACAAAGCAAAGCAATAGGCAGAAATAACAATTTTGTGAAGATGGAGGAAAAAGAAGTCAATAAATCAGTATAAATAATCTTGGCCTTCATCACCATTGAAAACTTAATGTACATATGAAGCGTATAATTAAAAAACAGATTGTACAAATTCTCGTTAAGTAAGATTTAATCTTTAAAAGAAGAATTGGACATCTGCCAGAAAAGTCTTCAGATCAAGTTCATAGTCCCACAACCCCCACTGCTTACTCCTAAACGGAGAAACCTTTAGATATTTCAGCGTGTAATGGCTGGAAAATGTCAGTCAGCCAGTCAGCATTCGACATCCTGAAAAAATTGTTTTTGCTGATAAGTTCATAAAATATGGACCATAGAACTTTCGAAATGATGACTGTACACATGTGTTTGGCTGATTTTTTTTGTCAAAAGTTTATGTTGTTTTATAAATTCGGTGTATTAAGCAAGCTCTTGAGCATTGATTTTTCAATGTTTAATCATTTATGTTCTTGTACTTAAATATTTTTTTTCTTTTGTAGGATTGAAAATATAATTCATACTTTTATATTTATATAGCTGAGCCTCGATAACACGAACATTATTTCAATGATGATCAATCCTGAACCTTCGAGCAGATTCGATTAAGGACCTTTATTTCTAAAATTTTGCATAATTTCTAATATAAACATTAAATATGGAACCATATCTCATGAAAACATTGCAATTAAATTGCATTCAAAAAGAATAAATGAAACAAATGGAGATAACAAACAGTATATTAGATCAAATGTCCATAAAAAAATAAAATATAGGAGTAGAAAAAACACGGGTCTCAAAACATCAGATTGGGACCAGGTGTCTTGGAGGAGTGAGCAGCCTTTCTGACCGGTCACATCCGCCCTCTGTTCCTTGGCATGATCTGGAAATTTGTCAGTCAGCATTTCATTCAATGATAAATTGTTTTCGTATCGTTTCTCTAGTTTGACAGTTCAGAGAAAATTCGGAATTCATTCATCAGAATCCTAAGTAACTCTGAATCTACAATACAATTTCCCTAAAACATCACATAAAAGTTAAACAAATAAAACATTCGCTCTGTTTTAATGAATAAATAGTTAAGAAGACGATTTTTCATTCAAATTAGCAATTCTCAGGCTTATGTTTTGTAATGCAACATACATAAGACGTCATGTGACGTCAGAGTGTAGACGCTCCAAATGGCACGACGTGTGGTTAGACGAGCTTGATAAAAATTATTATCGAATAAGTATCTGCACTCGTCGTAAGGGTTGCATTTTTTATTTTTTGACTTGAAATGATTTACTACCTTCTCGTAAAACACCTAAATTTTTACACTGTGACCATTTTTATTACTTACACTATACTTAAATATAACGAGCAACAAAACACTTTAGATATTGAAAAAATTTATGAACGGAACAACACTGCTTCATATAAATAAATTAATTCTGTTTGGGCGATAAACGTATCAAGGTCAAGATCTTGTAAAGGAAAGAAATCACACACGTATCTTAAATATATCACTTAAAAAGCATGTCCAGCGCGGTGTTTGCTCTTTAAGAGCGCTTCTTCACAAAGAAATCTTCAAGTCCCAGAATGATTTCTCAGTCATGGTCTTAATGGATTCATCTGTTTTCTGGTATTGGGTCTTTCCTTTATTCCTGTAGTATTTCTCCTAAATTAACTGAAGGCTACATGCATGATTCTTTCTCAACCTCCATGTCAAGAGTTTCTTGAGATTGCTAAGCTTAAGGTAGTAGATTCTTCTCCCAAACATCTGAATCATTTTCTGTGGGAAGACACCTTCAAGGCTGCTATCAAAGTCATTGGTGATTCCCTTAGCAGTCTCGTAAATTTAATCAGTGATATGAGATATCATTATTTTCTTGGGGTTAGGAAATCCGACTAGCTTTAAGCTCTTCTGGATGATTGAGTCTGTTGCATCCTACCTTGCTATTTATATCCAACAGATGGCAACAAGAATGGGAATTTCCTTGCACAGTCTGTGATATATTGGGTGTCGTCAATTTTGGTTACTAGGAGCTTCATCAATATTTAAGAAGGTTATATCAAAGTCTATCCAAACGAATTAGGACTCTTTTAAAATCCAGAGGACACATCACACAGTTTTCGCCCTAAAGGTCAGTTTTTGCTGTTACGTACAATTATATTTAGGTAAAGATTTTCGGTATGTACTTAGGTCTTTGAAAAAACTAGGCCATTTACATTGTAGGAACATACCTCTGGCCAGCTACAATAAATAACGAACTGGAGACATTAAATTTTATTATATAGTGGATATATACATAACAAACTGGATATATACTTAACAATTCGCATACATACATAACAAGCTGAATACATGAATAACAAAATGGATGCATACTGTAGAAACCGGATTCAATCATAACAAACAAGATACTCACAAAATAAACTTGTTTCATTAAAAACAAACTGGAAACATACATAAAAAACTGGATTCTTGTAAAACTAACTGGATACATACATAGCAAACTGTGTACATATTGAACAAGATTGTAAGATTCAACCAAATTAGCGTTTATGTGCATTGATTATAAGTGAACACGAGAAAACTCGGAAATCAACAATGTATAATTATTTCAAATCATTTTTGTGCATGCTTTTACGTACATGTAACATGAATTATGAGATAAAGACGATAACAGGTATATGTATATCTGATTTATCTATATATTTTGGATTGTTTTATCATTCAATGGTACATGTAAACATGAAAGTAGGGAAATTTATTCGATATTTACATTATTAATCTTAATAATGTGGTTCATATAAAAATTCTCTTTTTATTCGAATGTATCAAACAAGATTGATGATATTCTTATCCTTTTGACATTGGTCTAAAAGTGTTTAAGTCAGGGTATAAGAAAGGTCTGAACTTCTAATTCTTTTTCTTTATTTTTTTTCATAGTCCATCGGTAGATTTGGACATGGACAAACTATGCAGGACTATTTCACAAATTCACATATTCTCCAGGAATTGGATTTCTGAGGACTTATCAACAACCTCAGTAACTATAATTACATGAAATAAATAACTCAACAGAAATTAATATGTATGTACATGAAAATTATCCAGATATGCAGAATGTATTAGTTTTAAGAGTGTCGAGTTCAAATGCCTTTCACTAAGGTGGACATTTTACTAAATTATCTATTATTTTAAGATTGAAAATAACGCAGAGAAGCTCAAAATGTGCTATGGTAAAAAGTTATGACCAAATAAAAAATCGACAATGTTTACGATTCTCTGATTACAATACCTGTGATCGAGAAAAATGATGCGTGACAATTAAGGATGTATATATACTTATCATATAATCAAACTTCGTTATCAATGAATCATAATTAACTTTCTAACATATTTTTTCCAAATTTTGTAAAGTATCTATAAGCACATATTTTGTTGCTGTCCCAGAAACCAACCCAGAGGAGATGAGTTTTGTTGTCATAACTTAGGGTGTGTGGAATTTTTCCTAAATGTCCTGTCAGTATCGTTGACAGAAAGTGACCGTCCTTGTCAATTTTTTGTATTGTCAAAGTTTTAAGATCACACACAATGATATGTGACAGAGCGTCTGTACAGATTCCACGTGGCTGTAGTCGTGATCCAGATTGATGTCCGGTATAAGAGAAGCGATGTCGTCCTACGCGATCTCTCACCACTACAGCACCACGTAACCAGTTATAGTCAAACACAATGACATCTCCGTTGCGGTTCTCTACAATGTATATAGGATTACTGTACAGTTGCTGAATCCTATTGTCACGTATTGTCTGTATGTGTTGTCCTGTGCTATCGTATCGATTTATCTTGTTTCTATTAAAACAAAACTTCCTAACCAGTATAATGAGTAGATCTCCATTGACGGGTGAGGAAAAGACACATCGTGGCTTCCATAGGTCTGTTGCTTCTATCAATGTAGACGTTGTTCTAGTATCTTAAGAAAAAATGAAAATTTCGTTATAAGGGCCTATAGAGATCAATTCACCTTTATTGTTCACTGTGTGTGTTCCATACATAGCATTCGATCTTGAATAAGTTATACTTGTCAGATGATACAGAAGGTCCCCCGCTGTGTTTACCGTGAAAATAGCTTTGACTAAGACTGATTCAGATCAGGTCAGAAGAAAGACAAGAAAGTGCATTACAAGGTCAGAAGTTTTCAGTTTAACAGTTCTGGCTAACACGGCTGAAGACATCATTTCCAGCAGATCCTCATTTCTTACTTGTCTCTGTCCTCTCTCTATTATTTGAATTTCACTCAGAAACTCAACAACATACTCCAGGTTGATTCCTTCACTCAAGAAGAGAAAGGCGTTCTGTGTAAGATCAGGAGTGTCTTTTATTTTTGGGACCAAGATGTTTTTACAAACTAAGAGGAATTTTATCGCTCTGTTCACTGACTGATCGTATTTATGTTCATAGTTTTCTATTCTGGCGAGGTTTTTGAGCAGTTCTCTCTTGTGTTGTAATTTGTGAATCTTGCAATTGTATAACCTGTCTTGAACATTACACATTAAAGTGTCAATGAAGCCCTTTAGTCTCTGGGCTTTTGTCAACGTTTTTAAGTGATGATTGAAAATCTTTGTTTGAGCAGTTTTAAAATCAGTTTTGATGTCTGCCAGGAGAATAGGGTTATTAAAGAGAGCCTCACTTCTAATCCTGTGAATGATGTCTCTGTGATGTTTACGGTTTGTTTTATACGCTGTTTTAATGTCCTGTATTTTGTGTTGTTCATGTTTTTTCACACTTGATACAGAAAGGACATTTACATGAATAACAGTATTGTTTATACATTCTGTCTGTATGTCTCACACAGGGTTCGAGTTTGGTAATGTCATATTTATCACGGTAAACCACAACATCATGGTAAATGGTATCTAAATCAATAACATGTTTGTCTTTACACTGTAAACATAGGTCATGTTTACATGTTTTACAGTAGTATTCCGTGTTCCTCTGACATTGCGAACAATGCGGACTGTATACTGTTTAGTCAAGGCTTTATACAATACCGCTTTATGATGTTTAGTAAGGGAGTTTGTAGCATGTCTCTCTTTACACTGTAGACACAGGTCAAGTTTACACGTGTTACAGAAGACTTCTGTGTCCCCCTGACATTGAGAACACTTTCGTATCTTACACTGTGTAGTCAAGGCTTTATACATTATCACTTGATGATGTTTCGTAGGGAGGTTGGTAAAATGTTTGTCTTTACACTGTAGACACAGGTCATGTTTACATGTATCACAGTAGAATTCCCCCCCCCCCCCCCTGACATTGAGAACATTGCCGTATCGTATACTGGACGCTTGATCCTAAACCAATGATTTAGAAGATTTTAGTCTCTAAGAACATAATCTCCTGAAAGAAGTATAAGCATATCAAAATAGTTAAAAATGGAAAGCTTCCAAATTGAATTATTTGGAAATTTAGATATTGATTTCTTTTTCTTTTCATTTAATTTATTTTATCATACACTGTCCCGAAACTATTTTCCGGAATGTCATTATGGTCAATGAGGTTTAACTTTTAATAACAAAAGATATCCAATTACATGTATATGTACATGAGAACCCCCTCGACAAAAACTCATTCATTTACATTTTCATCAGGAAAACTCTGTTAGCTGACAAGAAAAATCGTGTACTGGTTACATTATGGCTAGATTTACTAAATATAATAAAACGCTGACTTAATTTTGGATATTTGTAAATGCACTATTTCGTTTATGGGTGCCAATCGTCTAAAGTAGTATTTAGACTGTTAACGGGCATAAAAGAAAATAAACACAATGACGTATATTTAGAAAATAGTGCATTTTACAAATATTCAAAATAATTAAAATTTTAAATATAAAAAAAAAGTATGTTAATAACGAGGAGCAATTTGTAACCATTGTAATTACTATACATTTTTGAAATTCCTGATTTCGAAATGATGAAAGCAGACGGTTGGACGTCCTCCTTTACTACCCTAAATTATTTGGTAAATAATGTAGTTGAAAGGTAAACATTTAAATATAGATCTTGTTCTCAAGAACAGCAAATCCATGATAGGTAATATTTTAATGGAGACATCTTCAGGTACTTTAGATTTCAAAATTGTTCATGTCCCTCGGAATACGATGTGACAAAACTGGCCATCACAGTTTATGTATGAACATACACAGAAACATTTTAAGATCTTGTTCCCAAGAACAACAAATCAATGATGGTAATATTTTTAAGAAGACATTCTCAGGTAGTGTAGATTTCAAATTTGTTCATATCTTGACCCCCTGCGTAAGGTAATAATGGATGACCAAAGCTTAACAAAGGAATACATGGGAACATTTTTCACAAGAACATAAATGTCGTGATTGGTCATGTTTAAATTGAAGTATCCTTAGGAAGTGCAGATTCAAGTTTTCAAATCAAGGCCCCGTTGGGTAGGCTGGAACAACAAGGAATTATCAAATTTTAATTCAGGAATTCCTAGAAAAAATCTTTGAAATCTTCTCTTCTTTGAGAACAGCTAGAAAACAATGTGGTTTGCCATATTTATACTTTACATTTCTGAACCGATTAATCTTCTGTCTTTCCCTTGCTCTGGTGAGTGATGTGGCCCCTGAGCCTCTTGCTCGATACATATCACGATATATGAGCCTCGATGTGATATCAATCAGAATACTGAAAACCAATTTTTTTTTGCGTGCAAGAAATTTTGCGATGTTTACATGTACGAGAGCCTCGTGATCGCAAATATTTCTCGCCACGAACGGGTCCTTAAAGTGTATATGTCCATTAAAAAGATATCCAAAATGACTTGATCGCAAAAATTGATTTCTACGCCCGCGTGGCGTAGTAATATGATGTCTGCTTTTATAGGAGTTAATCCTTACATTCAGTATTCAGATCATACTGTGGAATATTAAGATCGGTCCTTTGGATGAGACAGTACAGCCCGAGGTCCAGTGTCGGAGTCGATACTTGATCAAAATATCCCTGAGTGCCGAGTATAGGTCAGAATTTACAGGTGATCCCATCTGTGATATTTTAGAGGTCCGTGTTTATCTGCTCCTATTTTTTTTTTAACTTTTCACCTTGAAAACTATTCGTTATTTCCATATCCTTTACTAAATCCTGATTAATGGAACTTTATTCTACTGCAAAATCGATTCGGCTCGCAATCCTTCATTCCTTTTGTTACATAGCAGGTTTATGCAAGGCATTCTAACTTTCATGGGGGCCTGACCCAAGACTCAGGTTACTCTTACTTGTCTGACACTGGTAGGAAAAGTGTAGATTTTAAAATCAAGTCTTAACCGAAGCACCCCGGTAATGAAAGATGGCAACTGTCGTACCTTTATTTCTTTTTTATATATAGTAAAATGAAACATTAAAAACTTGCCAATTTCAGTTATATCTTTATTCTTACTATTGAGTGTATTCAGACACACATAAAAACATACATGTATAATATAGTTACATAATCAATACTTTCAAAACAAAGTGCATAAGAGTCATAACTGATAAATTTGCGGATAAAAATTCGCATTTCCTGCAAAGACAATCTTGAGAAATATGCTTATTTAAGAAATAATTATGATAGTGTTTGTAAATTATAGTCATATGAAAATTTTCCTCCAATCAATGTGATGTTGAAAAATTGTACACTACGGGTTAGAATTCGGGGTATTATTTAATGAAACTCGTTAACGAAGTCTGTGTTACATGTGATATGTCTGTTGTAATACTAATCCTTTCTGTGTTATATGTGTATATAGTCATTTATGTTTCTATGAATATGTAGAACTATAATATTATGTGGGTCAAAAGCTCTAATTCTGAATATGATTCAGTCGTCCGAAACGTTATAGATAGAAACACGTCTCAAGTCTCAAGCCTCAATGAACAAGGACATTGAAGATCAGACGAGACGTTCCTCAATATCTGTTTAGCATATCTTTGAAATTTATGAAAAAAAAAAAAATCAAATCTTTAATTACATGCTTTTTTTACACCAGTTAATAAACGTCTTTCAAAAATCCAACCACACAAAACAGTTGAAATTGGAAAAGTCTTTATCTTATCAGAAGGATTATATATATATAAAAATTACCCCTGATATATTGCAGAAATGCCTGGTACAGGACCTAATGTTTTTGTGAGTAAACATATTTAAATAGCAAAACTATAATGGGAAACTCGTAGAAAATTATATCTATTATTAAGAAACGTCTTGTCTGTTCTTAAATGCTAAATGCATCCACATAACGTAAAGGTATAGTCTTCTTTTAATTTATGAGAATGTTAAAAATGTAAGTATAGACAATGAATCTTTCTTTTGTGAAAAATGTAGGCTAGGTATGCTTCAACAAATAACCATCGAACGTTCCTCAATTTGTACGTACACACCGTTGCAGCTATAGGACTATATCTTTCATGAAAACAAATGTTTAATGGATTTTAAATGTTGCCTTATTTTGATATTTGTGTAAAATGGTCATTTCAGGGAACAAAATTAAAAAGAGAAAGATCGAAAATACTACTAGTTCAGTTATTAGTGTTTTGCTTAACTCGGTGGTTTACAATATGAAAGTCTGTAAAGTATTACATAAATCCAGACATATTCTGTTTGGTCTGCATTCATAGGTAACCTTTTCCAGCACCTGAAAGTAAACGAAGTATTATTTTTAAAAAAAATGTATATCCATATACAGTGTATGTATATATAAAATGTTGTCTGAAACATGAATATTTTCAAATATTTTACCATGTTAATTTTAAGTGTCTTTTGCTCAAATTCACAATAAGGTTAAGTAAATCATTCCTTTTTTTTAAATTGAAATACAGCAGATAAGCTCAAACGATTCCATGTTGATAAATCCAAAGTTTGTTTTCATACCAATGAACATAAAAGACAAGGTAAAAGATTTTCTAGTTACAATTTCTTGTGAGAAAGATGATACCAGTACATATACGTCATATAAAGAATGATATATTAGATTGATATACCACAATTACCTGTCTCACAGCTCTTTCTTTTTATGTATTTATATACACACAGTGTGTTGTCATTCCATGATCCAACCCAGAGGAGATGTGTTTTGATGTCATAACATAAGCTGTTTGGTCTGTATATTCCTTGCGTTCGTGTCAGTATCCGTGACAGAAAATGACCATCTTTGTCAATCATCTGTACTGTGTTGGTTATCCAATCACACACCAGGATGTGTGACAGCGCGTCTGTACAGATTCCATACGGTTGTAATAGTGATGATGTTGAAGGTCCAGTGTAGAAGAAGCGGTGTCTTCCTTTACGATTTGTCACCACTAAACGACCTAAGTTAGACACAATGACATCTCCATTGCGGTTTTCTGTTATGTAGTAAGGTACATTATACAGTTGCTGACCCTTGGTGTTGTGTTGTATTGTCTGTATGTGTTGTCCTGTATTGTTGTAACGGTTTATCTTACCTGCTTGTTCAAAATAACTGAACATCCCGACCAGTAGATCTCCATTCAGGATGGAGGAATAGACACACCTAGGATCCCATGTGTCTGTTCCTTTTATCAGTGCAGACTTTGTTGTATTACCTAAAGAAAGCTTGTAAACTTCATTATTAAAGTCTAAATAAATTAATTCGCCTTTTTTGTTCACTGTCTGAGTTCCATAAATATTTTTCCAGCTTAAATTATCTATACTTGTCAGGTGATGCAGCGCACCCCCTTCGGTATTTATTAAGATTATATCACTAATGCAGCTATGCCATTGACTTATCCAAAACCGGTCTGAATTCAGACAAGAAATGTGTGTTATTAGACCAGACGTTTTCAGTTTAACAGATCTGACTAATACAGGTGTAGACATCAGTTCCAGGAAGCATTCATTTCTTACTCGTCTTTGTCCTCTCTCTATGATTTGTATTTTACTCAAAAGCTTAATCACATCCTCCATGTTGATTTCCGCAGATAGAAAGAGCAAGGCGTATTGTGCACAATAATGATTGGCCCTTATCTTTGGGACAAACGTGTTTTTAAGAAAATAGAGGAATTCTACAGGTCTGTCCGCTGACTGTTTATCGCAATATTCATATTTTTCTATGCTGGCAAGGTGTCTCTTTATATTTCTCTTCTGTTGTCGTAACCCATAAATCGTTAAATCCATGATTTTTTTGTTTCTGACTTGAATATCACACATTACAGTATCAATTAGGTCCTTAAGTCTCTGGGCTTTTGTCGACATTTTCATCTGATGGTTGATGATCTCTGTTTGAGCAGTTTTTAAATCTGTTTTGATTTGGGCCAGGAAAAAACGGCTATTATAGAGAGTCTCACTTCTGATTCTGTGAAGGATGTCTCTATGTTGTTCACGGATTGTTTTATACGCTTTTCTAATGTCCAGTGTTTCATGTTGTATGTATTTTTCACACTTGGCGCAAACAGGAAGTTCACATGAATAACAATATTTTTTACATATTCTGTCTTGATGTCTCATACAGGTCTCTTGTTTTAGAAAGTCATATTTCTCCCGGTAAATCACAACATAATGCTGTTTGGTATCTAGCTCAATAACATGTCTTTCTTTACATCGAAAGCACAAATCATGATTACACGTGTTACAGAAGAATTCTGTATCTCCCTGACACTTAGCGCACTGTCGGACCTTATACTGGGCGCTAGATCCTAAACCCATGATTTAGCAGATCTTAGTCTTTAAGAACACAATCTCCTGAAGGAAAGAAAGAAAATCAAAATTGTTAAAAAAGGGAATGAATTCCTTGCATATTGCTAATCGGTTTCATTCTTTTATAATTTAAACCTTTAACAATTTCCGGGATATGTTTATGGTCTTTGAGTACAATTCCTGGTCACTCTTTAAACTTAACAAAAGTCATGTTTACATGTAATTTTTTAAAGTCTTCCGTTTTCTTCACAAAGAAAAATCGTACTTAAAAAGTGTTGTTAGATCCTTCAGTCTTCATGATTTGGAGGTAAAATAATCCAGTTATCCTCAAGCTACCTGTATAGATATTTGTAATCAATACTAAATCAAAACAATGTCATAACAATTGATAGGAAACATGTAAGAAACAAGAACAAATATATTAATTTGTTGACGCAAACATTATCTATACCTGTGTAATTTACATTAAAAAAATGATGATTTTGTTTGATCACGTGGATGATATAGATTCCTTGTCAAATTCTCATTGTAAGCAAATTACTGTCAATCACTTTTTATTCGCGAGAACTTTATTTTCGCGTTATTACGCGAAACGATATGTTCGCCAAAATTTCATTCTCGCGAATTATAGAATTCCTTAAGATTATATAGAGCAATGGTCACAATTCGTAAAAATCTTGTCTCGCTTTGAGGTGTCAATGTCTATCTCGCGAAAATAAGGTGTTGCGAAAATTAAGTGATGCATGCTGGCCATTCTTCTTTCTTTGGTAAACTGAAAATCATAATAGAATTACTACTATACCGTGTGGTTCTACCTGAGAAAGTTTGTAATGGTTCAGATATATTTGTAACAGTAATTGATACAAAATATTAATCTGATATCAATGGTGGATTCTTAAAAACTTTAAAGAAAGCGATTAAAAACATAAATTTGGGACTATAAACTATCATAAAACTTTGATAGAGCCCTTATTTCTTACAGATTTTATATTTTGTGAAATGTTCTTAAAGAAAAGGTGATATTTGTTCTAAAACTTACAATAGTTTTTTTTTATTCATTACAATTAGTATATTTTATGACGTAGCTAAAATTACTTACCACAAGTTTATTTAGCTACTTGAGATATCTAAATATTATAAGGCTACTTTCTGCAATTTTTTTAAAACTTACATATGTTACAATCATATGACAATTAAAATTCATGCTAAAGATTTTTAAAATCGAATCAAAATCAGAGAGATGAATTATCTTTGAGCACACCACCGTGTTTGCATTGTGGTATGGATTTTTGTGATATCTTCACCATGTTCCCATTGTGCTGAATAATTAATACTGGAACCAGCTACTATCTGTAGTCACCTCTGCACCAAAGTTATAGTCCTTCATATATCACGTGTACACATACAGGGTAATAATACAGGAAGTAAGGTGGGGCTGCAATGTGCTATCAATAATTTACAAGTGAACATATAGGAAACATATTTAACATTTTACATTCTCTGTAAGCACCAAAAATCTTGGAAACGACATGTCTCGGATTTTGATGATATTTTCACCATAGGTGTGTCTTGGTACAACACTAATAAATATGGTGTTGGAAGTTCCACACGTGCACTGTCATGGAGACAGATCCATGGAATTCGTCCATTTTTGGCCTTTTTTGACTAAATGAAATTATGAAAATTGAGGAAATGTAAATGGATATTTTTTGGTATCTAATACACACTATCACAAATCATTGGATCATTTGATAACATGAACCTTAAAGGTACACAGGGAATATAGCCATTTATTCTAGAAATGTTCTACCTGTAAGAAAAATGACTGCAAACTGAGATGTTTTCTGACAAATTTGAAAAATGGGGAAATTGGCGTTTTTTGATATCTTTAAGGCAAAATAACAAAACTTGTCCGAGGAAATTTTCCAAATCTTATGTGTGTTATTATACTTGAGAATTAGTTATGTCATGTCATGAAACAATATCATTAGGCTTTTGTTTCTATTTTTAGTAACATGTATCTATAAATAGATATATTTTAGAAAAATGCGAAAAATCAAAATTTGGCAGTTTTAAATGACATTGTTGCATAAATAGGGTGTACATTGTGAAATTTGTGATTTTAATGACAATATATGGACACCCTACCTGTTGTGGACGATGGTTGTAGGGGATTCTCATTTCTATTTTTAGTATCAGGTGTCTAAATATAGAAATATCTTAGAATATTAGGGAAAATGGCAGTTTAATGCTAATTGGAAGCCTCATGGAAAAGGTGTTAACAAATATAAAGTTTTTAACAATATATCTTTAAATGAACATGTGTTTATACAATAACTGATACAATATTGCGTTTGGACTCCCATTCTTTTTCATAGCCACAATAGATTACTCGAATAATTGAGAAAATGTAGATTATTGCATTTTTTCAGGCAACATTTAGATGTAATAATTGCTGCATAATTAGGTAACATTTTGTAAAACTTGAGATGTTAATGGTACGATCTGGACACTCCTAGCTGTTATGGATAATTGTTTAGGGGATTTCCCTTTTTTTATATTTAGTATCAGGTGGCTAAATATAGATATGTCTCTGAATGTTAGGAAAAATGGTATTTGGTTCTAACTGGAAGCTTCATATAAAAAGTCTTAAAGTAGGATTCTTCTCATATTTCTTGTATTTAAAAATAAATGAAATTATAACAGAATCAGGAAGATAATATCAGTTAGTAATAGTATCAATGAGATTTAATTTGACCGCTTTATATTAGAGACAAGGTCAGGTCACGGTCATTATTGTTTTCCTTGACATTATGAATAAAAAAAATACTTTTGCAAATCATGTTATGCCTACTTCTATTTCAAAAGTTTAAAGACTGTTCTTTTTGCATAAAAGGATATAACTATATCGTGTTTATAGCATGATATTACCAAATTTACATAAATCATTTAACCAAACTGAATATTGGCTTATCCGAATTTTCTCTGTTTTCCTTATTTTTTAAAGGATATATTAGTTACTTTCTTATGCTTCCTATATTAAACTTTTTTCTTATTTTGACATATAATAAAGATGTCTTATGCATGTACAAAATGATACAAAAACAAAAAGTTTTGATCGATTTCTAAGAGAAAAAAAGCTTCGTGTATTTTTAGCTCAAATATGTACTTTGATTGGAAGCGTTTAAAAGCTAACAAAGTTCTAGTTTGTTTGGAAAATAATATTTATTTGCTATATTTTGATAGTTTAGTCCCTTATTATTAATTCAACTTACATTTAAAAATTTCTTCAAGTCTTTGATTGAGCAAAACTTAAATTTATTGTTCTATTAAATTTTTGAGAAGCAGATAAGAAAATATTTTCATACGCCAAAATTCCGCCAAAAATATAGTCCCTGCTAGCTTTCAAACGCAGTTTACCATTTCTATTGAAAGTTGTATAAATGTGATGAGGAAGAAAAATATTGTCTTTTAAATCCCTTGGACCTATATATATAACAAATATAAGCAAAAATACTTCGAATATTTCATATAGTCAGAAACCAGAGAAGAATCCTACCTTAACAAATATAAAGTTTTCTACAGCATGCTTTCAGAATGTACATGTATAATTGCCACAATATTAAGAATGGACTCATCTAGCTCGTTTGGACAAAATTTGAGGGGAGGGGGGTCCTATTTCTATTTTAAGTATCACGTGGCGAAATATAAATATTTAGGCCATTTATAGGAAATATTTTAAATCTTTTCAATTGTTCTGTAAACCAATTCCTGATTGCCCTAATTCTAGTCTTTGACAATGTACATGTATTTTTATTTACAAGTTTATTTTGTCCAAAAACTTTTTTTTTTTAGACAAAGACTCAAAGGGTGGATTCGCAGTTTCTTTGGTCTGCATATGTTTTTTTAATATTAGCCAAAGTTCAAGAACCTTTTGTCATTTTTTGTCAAATTTGTCACATAGTATATCAGGATTTTTATTGATACCAAACATTGGGATATTTCCCTTAAAAAAGAGGAGATACTAGGAAATCTAATCCCTTATTACAAGATCTTGTTAAAATGCGAATTTATTAATCTGTTACTGGGTTATTCTTAGATGACTGTTTAATCCCTCTGGTCTCTTGTATAAGAAGGTACTGTTTGAGCTTTATTGTGCCCTGAAAATTTTATGTTCTTAAAAAGTTGTGAAGCTGGATTTAGCAACAGACGAGTTTATAAATATGATAGATCATTAAAGAATATGACATGAAGGGGGTCATTTTGGATATATGACGTCATTAATTTGGTACACTTCTTTGTTTAATGCAGAAAAAAGACTCATAATGAATCATTTCTGTGCTGATTTTGTTTTAACTACCGTCGCCCTTTTTATTGTGTTGGATATATTATGTGAACTGCTATGAAAAATCACATACCAGGTATCTTAAAATCTTTCTGGGCGAGAGTGACAGAGTATGTTTTCTGGAAAAGAAAAATTCCACTGAAAATTGATGTCTTCTGCAACTTTTTAAGAAAATACTTGAAAATACACGTTAATAACCTCACATTAGCATTTAGGAGGTCATTTGAGAAAAACGATTTGTGTACTTTTACTGTAGGAAATTGTTATGATTTAGAAAGAATGAATTTTGATTTCCTGTATAACTTTCATATTTTAGAAAAAATTTAGGGCTGATTTTGTATTGAAATTGCAACTGTACCTTGTTCTTT